AGGAAGGGCGGGTTCCCGCAGCCGGAGTATCTAGTTTCAGTGCTCTGGATACAGAGCATTGTTCCTGCTCACAATCATGAAACGGGAATACCTTAACGGCCTCGTCCTTCTAATGCAAATCATGTTGGGAAATAAGATTCGGATTATATAAATAAGTCGCTATATATTCTAAGCTGGATAGGACTCCTGTTTATTCTCCCATTGTCAATGTCATTGAGATGAAGTTGCAAATTTCCACTTCAAAATTTCCGTTGTCACTAAAAATATGTTTACTATTATTCTTATACCAATCCTTTCAGCGATGGAAATGCTAAATAGGTATGGAATAGATATTGCCTGACTATATTGAAGATTCTTTTAATACTATTTTGAAATTTAATAATAGGAAATATAAGATTATCCACCTAAAGCAAAATTTGTGTGAGATATTTTTCACACTGTGTCCTTTTCACTAAGTACTGCCGGTACAACCAGTTTAGAGTCATAATAGATTAGGACTCCTGTGTCACAGTGTTTCTCGACATTTGTTTGCCCTCTCAGGGACCTCTGTATTGGTTTCAGTAACCGGTTATAGAAGGTCTTAGTGACGTTTTCGGAAATTGAGAGATGTCTTATTAACCTCCTTAATTCATCCGCACATTTGCCCAAAAATTTACTGTATATGTAGATGGTAAATATTGGTACTCATTTGAAAGTGGGCAATGAGTGGACCTCCCTTAATAGCACAAGAGCATATAAAAAAGAAAATTTGTGTAGTAAGATAATTTCAATATTTTTAACTTCTAAACTTTTATTTTTAACTTACTCTTCTTCTGATAACTGTCCGAGGTTTACATATCTTTCATAAGTTCCATCTTTTTCACTGTTTTATCAGTTACTGAATATCCTCCTTTTCCGTCTGCACTGGTTTGTCTTCTACTTGCTTCTTCGAGGTCCCCGTGTGCGTGCCTCCACTTTTTCGTCCTGTGGCTGCCGCCCGAGCGTATCCTTCCGAGCGAGGCCGTACGTCCAGCGCCTGTCGCCCGCAGGGGAGATAGCATCGCTGCCGCTATGGCGCTCTCAGCCTCTGCCCGTCCGCATCGAAGACCAGCGACGCGAGCGCCCGCTGGACGGCGCTGCGCCCACTTTCATGACGGCACGTAACTGCCCCGATGGCAATAAACGTCGCTCCCCGCAAGAAAGTGGGCCCCGTAAAAATTACGTCCGCGGTTTTAGAAGGGTGTGCTTCGACGTCTGTCTGCATTTACTGCTTTCAATTTTTACAAATCGGCCGTCCCGGCAGAAGATGTTGCAATAATTTCCTGTGGAAATATCGAGCCTGATGCGAAAGAGCACGGTAATGTTTTACGAACTGGTTTAATAGGATTT